ACCACCAACTGGAAGAATTTGGGAAAGGTTAAAAGGAGAGAGTAGACTCCAGTCCACATGTCCTACCAACCTCCCAGAATCCTTCTTGCTGGAATCCATTTTGGCTGAGTGAATACATGCCACCAGGAATGACCCTGAGTCAGAGTAATTGACCAGAGAGAAACCAAAAACTAACCTGGTTACCATAAAACCTGGACTGTGAGCCACATGGAAGAGCAGTTTTCTTGGGTTCCCTGACCCTCTGCGCTCCACCCCAGTGCCCCTTCCCGGTAAAGTCTCTTGCTTTGTCAGCAGTGCATCTCTTTGGACAATTCATTTCAGGGTGTTAGACAAGAGCCCACTCTCAGGCCTTGGAAGTAGTCCCCCTTTCCTGCAATACTTTCAGAGAAGAGTAAGGAGGTAGGCAGTCCTATTTGCATTTACTTTTTTTTTAAGCAAAATTTATAATCCCTTCACCCATTTGGAAACATCTCAATCACTCTCTTTAAAGGAATGGTAAGTACAGCAAAGACTAGAACACTCATGAGATACTTTGAAACAAAAGGAAATTAGGTATGATGTCTGAACGCATGGTAAATAGATATACCAGCTACTCTTTTCCAGGGGAGTTTACAAAATGAAGATTATTGGTTTTTAAGGCACTTAATCAACTAGGCTAAATCTTTGTGTCTTCTGGGTTCATGATTATAGTTGATGGACCTGTTAGTCTATTTTGCCAAATCAGAGAAAGATGAAAAATCACGGTGAAGATGGAGGTGCTCTCAATAGTGACAAATTCCTTCCCTGTGAGTTTTCTACAAGGATGGCCTTTTTGCTAAAATCTAAGTAAATAAAATCTAAGTAAAAACCTAGACAGCATATTAAAAAGCAGAGACATTACTTTGCCGACAAAGGTCCATCTACTCAAAGCTATGGTTTTCCCAGTGGTCAAGTATGGATGTGAGAGTTGGACCATAACGAAGGCTGAGCATTGAAGAATTGATGCTTTCGACTGTGCTGTTGGAGAAGACTCTTGAGAGTCCCTTGGATTGCAAAGAGATCAAACCAGTCAATCCTAGAGTAAATCTATTATGAATATTCTTTGGAAGGACTAATGCTGAAGCCGAAGCTCCAATATTTTGGCCATCTGATGGAAAGAACTGACTCATTGGAAAAGACCTTGATGCTGGGAAAGGCTGAAGGCAAGGAGAAGGGAACGGCAGAGCATGAGATGATTGGGTGGCATCATCACTCGATGGACAAGAATTTGAGCAGACTCCAGGAGTAGGTGAAGGACAGGAAGGCTGGTGTGCTGCAGTCCATGGGGTTGCAAAGAGTCAGACTTGACTGAGTGATTGAACTGAAGTGAATACGATGATTCCACATAACAGAAATTCTTAGAATTTGGAAGGCTTTTCAAAAGAAAACAAATTAACTTCACCTCTGTAAAACTGGGTTGAAAAACTATGCCTTTAATAATAGCACAGTGTATTTATACTTTAAAAAAAAACTCAGAAGCAGTAAAGGGATCCAGATTCATGTGATTTAAATTTAGCTATTGTCTCTTAGAAATGTGAATTCTGGTCTAAGAGGTGGGGAACTGCATCTCTAAGAATGGTGACAAGCACAAATTCACTTTCTTAGAGTGGAGAAATGGGAGACTGTGCAGATTCTAAGTGCATTAAAAGACTTTAATGTTTTTAAACAACAGAAAAGGATTAGCTTTCAAAACTTCTAACTTGCAGGGGCTGGGATGAGGGGTTAGATAAGAAGAATGAAGAAAGATGAATTCTCCTAATTATGTAAATAGTCAAATTGACTAGCACTAGCCTCTGTAGGCCACAGACCAAACTGGCCTCTATGCACCTGAGTGAAAAAAAATCTTTGAAAGCAGAGTGTACTCTAAGAGCTAACTAAGAAAATAAAAAGGAATTGTTTTACTAGGAAAAAAATTAAACGCAGCATGTGTTAAAAGGTTTTCTTTTTTCTTTCTTTTTTTTTTAAACTTAAAGCTATAAAATGCTCTTGCTCTGTATCAAAAAGCCGCTTTTTCTTTTGTATTTTTACAAATATTTCCATCTTTAAGACAAGAGCTTTCTGACTTTTGTTAACAACGTATCCAGATCTAAAGGATTACAGAAAGAATGTCAATTTGCTTTAGAAGCAATTAAACGTACAGTTGAGGGAAAAGGCCAATTTTACTATGCAAGGACCACACATACTGTGTGTTTGTTATATTACTTGATATCAAAGCAGAAACATCCAATTCTTCCTAAAACACACTTGAAATGAAGAGTCTGGCTAAGGAACTCCCACATCCAATTCAGAGATATCTGTTACTGTTTACAAAACTGGGTAATGCTGACACTATTGTTTTACAGGAAAGAGATACTTTTACTGACTATATAATACACTATGGTTTCTTTAACTTTATATATATTTATTGGGTAAAATGAACATGATTTTGATCCTAATTGCCATAAATGCAGGTATATTATCAATGACAGGTACCACATCGCCAGAGGAACAGCAAGAATTTGCTGATTCTCTGTCATTAGATGACCCCAAAATATTTAACCAGCCTTCATCGCTTCAGAGGAGGTGGTCAGTAGCAAGAATTATCATCTTTCTTCTTCATTTTGCATCATCATGATGTTGGTGTGATGACTTTCATTCATTTGTTCAACATACCTTTACCAAATATCTCTACTTGGTGCCAAACACAGGCATAGGGAATATGAGGGAAGTGAGACATGGCCATTAGCGAAATGTATTATTAGGGTGGGAGAGGAGAGACAGAAAACAAGCTCAGTAAATTAGGGTGGTGCCTGCTATATAACGGACCTGTGCATGGGGAACGAGACTGGAGAAGAAGGGAGGCCGTCCTAGGAAGGGCTCTGTACACCTAATAAGGAGTTTAGACTTTACCCTACAGGCCATGTTTTTACAGATTCCTGAAATACTCTAAAAACAAAATAATGAAAATAGTATGGTACTTGCATAGAGATAGAGAAGTTAATGAAACAGAACAGAAAATGGAGAGACCAAATAGAAATTTTAGCTGATAAATATGTGCAAGTTTAATAAAACAAACAAACTAGCATTTCTAGTTAGTGAATAAGGAATAGAATTCTTAACCAGTGGCATTTGGACAGTTGACTAACCATTTGAAAATAAAATTTGATTACTATATGCCACACTGCACATTAAAAACAAAACTCAGATAGATTAAAGATTCAAATGTAAATGTTTATCTCTTGGGGTTTGAGGATGTTCTTTTTTAATGTGCCATCAGATATCACAGAGGAAAATAATACAATCACAAAATCACAATCTTCAAAGATCACAAATTTCCAAAAGGTTTAAGATATTATAGTTGTAAGACAAAGAGCAAGTTAGGAGAAATATTTGTAATTTACATAATAGTTAAATAAATTAATAAAAATTAATAAAAGTATCTAACCTATGAGAAATGGGCAAAGGACACAAATATGCAACTCATGGAAAAAAAATGACAATGATATAAAAGTATGCTCGACCACAGTTACCATCAATGCAATTTTGTTATGACAGTTTTCTTTTGTATCTGTTAGATTATAAACAGGATATGCACATGAGTAAAAGATATATCAAATAATGATCAATATTTTCCAGTGTTTGAGAGACTGTGGAGAAATGAAAACTCTCAAATACTAAGTCAATACATACTTTTTGGAAGATAATTTGGCAACATATGTGATATAAGGTGTGCATATCATTTGATCCTGTAAGTCCATAGCTGACAACTTTTAAAAACAGAAATTTTAAAATGTGAAAAAGTAGTATAAGAATATATACTGTACTGTTGTTTAATAGTAAAAATCTGGAAACAACCTAGTGGGCCACCAAAGGGGATTAATTTAACAAACTGCAGTATGTAGATAAAGAAATTACTATGCTGTTGTTCAAAAGGACATATTGGCATGGAACAACATCAATGACATACATTTAACTGAAATGAACAATCAGCAAAACAGTATCCCCAGTAAATTCTGCTAAGAAAGATAGTGAACTACAGAGGTTAGGAACATGGGCTTTGGGGAAAAGTTGACTTGATTTGAGTCCAAGATTCATAATTTATCAGATATGTGAAAATTAACCTTTCTGAATCTTGGTTGCTTCATCTGACTAACTTGAATGGATGCTCAAAGAACCTACCTCAAAGAGCTATATGGAAAATTCCTAGTGCATAGTAAAGGCTAAATATATACTAGTTGTTATTATTACTGTTATCATTTTGGTATAATTATTATTGTCAACCAATTCTCTGATGAAAACAACTGCAAAATGCAAATCTAAAATCCTTTGTAAAATTATTTATGCTTAATAGAATCTTTAACTGAATCTATACATCAAAGACCATTTTAGTTTATGTAACTAAAATATTCTATTTATCTGATCATCTAATAGACAGGATGATGAACTTGACATATTAGTTTCTGACAACAGTATGTTTTGAAAGAATATTCGTAAATCAGAATGCAAATAAGGAACACATATTTAAGAAACAAACAACTTTCACATTTAGACATTTCCAGTTATAAGAACTTTGAAAAGCTTTAACAGCACAAATTAAAAATTGTCCTATAGTCGTCAAATTACTTTTAATAAAGGATATTATTAATATCCTTTTTGAGGTAGTTATCATGTGTGCGTGAGTGCTGAGTCACTTCAATCATGTCCAACTCTCTGTGACCCCGTGAACTGTAGCCCCCTCAGGCTCCTCGTTCCATGGGATTCTCCAGGCAAGAATACTGGAGTGGGTTGCCATGCCCTTCTCCAGGGAGTTTCTATCATATACATATTTAATTTTCAACTGTATTATCAAGAAAAACATGCACAAAAATAGAAAAACACCCTTTTCAATATTTTTCCCTAATAAGACTAGGAAAAGAAATCATTCAAAATGAGAAAATGTGTTATGTAGTAATATATTAAAATGTCTACATCAACACAGAGATTGTGTGAAGAAACATACATACCCTTCTGTGCGCAAAATCATTCGAAAGCTGTCTCCTAAGCTTTTATAACTGTTTGGATCGGTTGCACATCTCTGAATCTGGAACCTAGAAACAAAATCAAACAAACAAAAAAAAAAGTTAAAGATTTTGCCAAATGGCTTTTCTCATTTTTCAAAGTCTTAGGAGACTCAGCCTTTTCAGATTAACCTAAAATATTCTGGCTTTTGCTATCGATTTTACTGATTTATTTGCCTTATATAATCTTTACCTTATTTTTGTAGGCTTTAAAATTATGATATTTCTCTGTGCTTTAATAGAACTGCAAAAAGTGTGTTTTTCCATCTGTTTCTTAGGCAGATGCACCCTGAGGCATTTATGCTTTTTTCCTTTGTGAAAACCACATGCATATGTCATAGATTGTTTTAATGTATAATTCAGAAATCTGAAGATGCATATGAAACAAATAAGTAGCTCTATTTCTTATCTTAATTAATGTTCTTTGATGGTAATTTAATACAAAGGCTAAAAATACAAAGCAGCTAATATGGCCTAACTTTGATCCTGATTATGAATTTGGAATTCATTCTGGCAGACAGGAGCCCTTGTTTGGAGGAAGAGTTCAGGGCATACCGTGATGCCATTTACTACCACGACTTCATGATGGAGCAGAGTTGGTCATTAGGAGTAGTTCAGATTACCTGGACTTTCACAGAAGCACAGTGCTCCACATGTAGTTTGTGTGCAATAAACAAAATTCTTTTTTTTTCTTCTTCTTTTTGGGTATGAGCGTGCATCTCAGAATTCTAACCTTCAAAATGTGAAAGTTTCCAGTATGAAGGTCTTAACTTATTATTTTGTATCTTACCGGGGGGTTTGTTTTTAAATGAGATTTATGACAAGTGCTCTCATTTCGCTACATCCTGGCTCTTCATTTTTGGTTTTCTTTAGTTTGCCTGCCCCTTGTGTTTAACTTCCTTGTCCCAACTCTAAGGTAAGGCCCTTCCCCCTTCTGTACATCCCTCCACAGTTTTAGCAAGTCTTTAAAAATAGAAATTCTCAGATATACCTCTAATAGTGTCTACTCTGAGATGTTTTTCTCAGATTGTTGGATTTATGACATGATCACAACTTCTACCTCTGAGAGTGATTTATCTTATAGTTCTAGGCCCCAGGGAATTAAGCTGAAAACTAACACATACATCACAGAAAAGAGAGACTATTTTGCTTTGTTTGAAGTGGTTGGAAAGAACAGTATATGATAAAACTGGCAAGTGAGGCTGGATTACATTTGACTTTGGAAAGTGGAGAGTTGCTGAATGTGATTGTGCAGGAGAGCTGGCATCCTAAGATGAGGGAATTGATTCTTCCAGTAGATTACTTGAAAGATACAAATTCCTAATAAAATTATTGTCTGATTGGGTGGATTAGAATGGGAGTATGGAGGGCAGAACAATGGTGAAGGCAATTATGACAGTCTGGGTGAAGATAACGATGCCAGAATATGAATGGAGGTTAAAAGAAGTGTCATAAAAGAGGTGAGCTTGTTGGGTGATCCTTTTTCTCTTTAAATTAAACTGGTTTTTTAAATGATACATTTAACACAATCCTCTCTTGATCCTCATCAACCCAGAAAGCAATAACAGTAAGTCCTAGATTTAGTATTGCCCAAGTCTGCATGCATGTGTGCTTGGTCACTCAGCTGTGTCCAGCTCTTTCTGACCCCATAGATTTGTACGTGCTCAGTCACTCAGTTGTGTCTGACTGTTTCTGGCCCCACTGTTGCCTGCCAGGCTCCTCTGTCCACGGAATTTCCCTGGCAACAATACTGAGCAGGTTTCCAATTTCCTTCTCCAGGGGATCTTCCCAACCCAGGGATCGAACCCATGCCTCCTGCATTGGCAGGTAAATTCTTTATCACTGAGCCACCTGGGAAGCTCTGAAGTTCATTAACCTCTGTCAAATTCCTTTCTAGATGCTTTTCTCCCAAATTATCAAGTTTTTTTTTTTTAATATTTGCCATATGAAATAAGATGCTATGGATTTTACAAAAACCCAGGGAATTATCCTCACTCTTGAGAAGCACAATAAATAAATGAGAAAAAAAACAACTGATAATATAAGGAAAACTATCCAAAATGTCAAGTAGCATCAGCATAATTTGCCCATGTGTTCATCAGAGGGAGCAATTACTGCTTTCTGTAGAGAGTCAGGAAGGATCTGAGGAAGCAGAAGGGATTGAAGGATCTGAATCCTGTAGGATTCAGACAGGCAAAAAGAGTAAGAAAGAGGAAGCATTCCAGTAGGGAAATGAGAGAGGAAAAGATGTCCTCTTAAGAGATGTGAAGGAAAAGATCTCCTACTATGACAACGTCCTCCATTTCCTGTAGGATGGATGTTTCAGCACCCTGCTGGTGGCATTCAGCTGCCCAGGGTGGGTGGAGACCCGAGCACGTTAGAGGATGGTGTTTATGAGATCAAGTCAGCAACCAATATAGAGCATTTGGCTTTTTCCTGCTCCTCAGCATTTCAGCTAACTCTGTGGCCATCTCACAGTCATGTGATCAGTCCTAGAAGGAACTGTGAGTCAGCAGAAGGACCAAAGTAAGTGAATCCTAATGGCAAGAAAATCGACCTTGGCTCCTCTCTTACTGATGGGGTTAGAGATATCAGCTTTGTCTATGATATCTGTGTGTTCTAGCAATCCCAAGGTGGGTCCTTAGTTTATGCAAAAATAAAACACAGGGTACAATTATTTCTTAAATAACTAGTTATCTAACTTGGCTATTGAAAGTTTAGTATTTCACTCACTGGTTGCAATTTCTTTCTTTTTTCAGTATCCAAACAGATATTCCCAATACACTATTCCCAGTTAATGAATTCCTGAATACTTACTACTAGGTACTCCACTATTTGGGGCATTCTGAAGGAAATTAGATATAATCCTGCCCTTTAGAAGCTTATAGTTAAGTGAAGGAGATATACAAATAGATGATTACCATATGCAAGGAATAATGTTTAGGAATATATTTTGGAGTATCACATGTCAGCCAATGAGTTTTACTAGTGCTGAATAAACACTAGTATTACTCTTAGGAGAGATGATCTCCCATCTGTGGCCAACTTAAAATATTATAGTACTACACAGAAACATTGGAGGGAAGAAGGAAAATGAGAAGTATATATTCAGGCTAAATATATGTGATTAAACTGTGTGTGTATGTGTGTCTTAGTCACTCAGTCGTGTCTGACTCTTTACAACCCCACAGACTGTAGTCTGGATTCTCCAGGCAAGAATACTGGAGTGGACTGCCATTCCCTTCTCCAGAGGATCTTCCGGACTGAAGGATCAAACCCTGGTCTCCTGCATTGCAGGCAGATTCTTTACTGATTGAGCTACAGGGAAGTCCTGTGATTAAACTTTACCCTCCCACTTCAAAACTGGCAGCAAGGACAGTTGGTGGAATCTTTGAGGAGTGTTCCATTTAGAAGATATCTGATGGATGAGTGATGCTGTGATCATTATAAACAGGAGTGGCAACATCAAAACAGTATCACATGAGGAGGAGAGTCCACAGGCTATGTTGTAGAGTAGTGCAAAAGGATGGGCAGACATGGTAAATACTAACTCCTCCATCAAACCTCCCACCATTCCTTACTCTCCTGAAGCAGCTGGAGGTCGCATTAAGCAGGCTAGGGCAAGTACAGCGGTCCCTTCTACTGCACATCTCACATACTGGCATGTCTACTCTCTGCAGAGAAGGTCCATGCTGCATTTAGTTCCATTACACATGACTTATTCTGATCACAGAGTTATCAGTTCTTCTAAGGAATCTGTTTCAAGTCGATATAATTACAGTGCATTTTGGCCAATCATGTAAAATAGCAATTTCCTTCTTCCTCTCCATTACATTTCAGCAACTTAAAAGGCTTCTCTCTTGGATTGAGGCTTTACATCAGCATTTTCCAAGCTGCGTTCTGTGCTAACAAATTCTCTCTATGCTTGGGGAGACAATTTTCCAGTTACGTAATACAACTCTTTGTAAAATTACAAAGGCAAAGCCACACTACTCCTGATTGTGTTTAGAAGAAAAGATTGGACTTTCCCACTGTCCTAATAAAAGCAGCTTAGACACATCTGGAATCTCCATCTGAGTAATGTCTTTTTATTAGAATGAAAACTTGCTGCCAAATGGGCAAACTGGACAATGGAGTAAAACTTAAGAAATATTCAGAGCCTAATATCAGGTCAGAATGAAACACAGGGAAAGGAGTGTGGCTTAGACCTTATGCCCCATTGCCCAGGAGTCAGCAGTCTCACGCGCTGTGGGGCCAGGGAGCCTGGTATTGCACTCTCTTAGAGTTGGGAGGAAACAGCCCTACCATCTCCTGCACCGTAGATGTTAGTATGAAGCAAGTTACTGTTGTAGTTTCCACAGGGCAAGGAAGAGCTGCTCCGTGTTCATAAGCAAATGTATAAGCATATTTTTAAAAGCCAAAGAATGTTCTTACTCACTAAAGTATTTTTCTTTAAACTGGTCAAAAACCATTACTGCAGTATTTTCCCTAACTTACTGGTGGACTTAGTCAGTGATACCAAAGTCTGTTGCTGATTCTTTGCACGGTTAGAAATGCTGCTTTAAGCATTCAGCTTGTCTGAGCACTTTCTAAGATACCACAAGGGAGATAGTCTTGCCTTAAAAGCTGTAGAATGAATTCTTTGAAAATTCCTAAATCTCAAATTTATACAATGCCTTTATTTCCAAAGTAAATTTTATATCTGTTAGCTTCATCTACTGTTGGTTGACAGTGTCTATACTGGGAAGTGGAGGCTTCAGGGCACACACACACATGCACATATATATAATGTGTTTATACATGTATATGTGATCTACATACTTATATGAATGGTGGCAATTGAGCTGCAAAAAGTCAGATTAGGATAGGTGATAAGACTTGTTCTGAAGCTTTACATAGCACATAATTTACAATTAGTTAGATTGTATGATTATTTGTGGTGCTTCAGGGCTGGGAAACGAAGAGTATTTGGAAGTCGGGCAAAAGCCATCCTAACTCATCTCTTTTGAACTGCCACCAATCCTAAGCAA